GGAGGGAGGGGAGGAAAGGGGAGGGAAGAGGAGGGCGGAGGGAAAGGGAGGGGAGGGAGAGGGAAGGAAGAGAATTGTGGGGGAGGGGATGGAGGGGAAGAAAGGGAAGGGAAGGGGTGGTGAGGGAAGGTAAGGGAGGGGGGAAGGGGAGGCGAGGGGAGGATGGGAGGGAGGGGGAGAAGGGGTGTGCATGATATCCCTCACTCTCTCTTCCCTTGCATCGCAAAATGGTTTCTGTATGCCTTCGCTGTCTATCCCGAGTCTTGTCTTTAGAGTCTTTCCTGTAATATCACTGTACCGTCAGTTACTCGACGGCCTCCCCTGAGCCAATAGGCTGCTGTTAATCCACCGAAAAAAAAAAAAAGAAAAAAAAAAAAGCCTTCTGCCTCTCGATCGGTTAGCTTAGCTTCTTCTTTGCCTTTGTTTTGCTTGTTTTTCCTTGATAATTTTATAATTATTTTTTTCACAATCTCTTGCTTCCCTTTACTCGTAAGCGTAAAAAAAAAAAAAAAAAAAAAAAAAAAAAAAGGGAGTACGTCCTGCAGCATAACTACCAAAACAAGCTCATGTACATGCACGTGCGCAAATTAGTTAATGCCTTCCAAATGTATCAGGCACATTTCGACGTCGCACTTACACTAATTTGCGCCTGTGCGACGTCATGTGCACTCGACGTCGCACAGGCCAGCGCAACTTCCAGTACGTTTTTTTTCTGCGGTATAAACTCTGCTGCGCTTGTGTGATGTCGAGTTAGGGTTGTGCGACGTTGATGTACACGGTTGTGCGACGTTCACAGGTAAGATTATACCTAATCCTCGACGTCGCACAGGTAAGACCATAATCAATCAATCTCCTCGATGTCACACCGGCGGAGGCAACGTTTGAGTACTCTCTCTGACATTACAAGATCAGACTGGGCAGGCCAACGTAACTTCCAGTGCGTTCTGCGGTATGTACTCTGCTACGCTTGTGCGACGTTGAGTTAGGCTTGTGCGACGCGTTGAGTGAGGCTTGTGCAACGTTGAGCTAGGCTTGTGCGACGTTCATTTACCTTTTTGCGACCTTCAGTTATACGCTTCTGCGATGTTGAGTTACGCGCATGTCTGCCGTTGAGTGTTTGAGCGACATTGAGTTGTTACACGCCTGTGCGACGTTCAGGTTAACGTGCTTGTGCGACGTTGAGGTTTAACGTGCTTGTGCGACGTTCAGGTTAACGTGCTTGTGCGACGTTGAGGTTTAACGTGCTTGTGCGACGTTCAGGTTAACGTGCTTGTGCGACGTTGAGGTTATGTTGTGCTTGTGCGACGTTGAGGTTACGTGCTTGTGCGACAATGAGTGCTGTGTGCGTGAGGAGGAGCGTTGACCATCAAGTGTTAAGGTCCCTGCCGTCTTCCCTCCCCCCGAACAGAACGCACCTTCATAATGAACGTACACAAGCTAGCTTCCCAGTCCGATACAGTCAAAATGAGGGTTCGTGGTGTTCGGGGGAAGACGGTAGCTGGAAGAGCGGAACGGCAACACGTGTTCAGTTGCCGTCCGTGGAGCGATCCGCTTTCTCAATGCGTTGGGACCGTGCGGCACGTGCGTGTCTGCTGGCGGCGCTAAAATTGGCCAAGACACGTGGCACGTGGACTAGCTGTGAACGAGCGATGGAACATCACGTGGCGCTTCGTTGGATGCCAGCTGGCAGGAGGGAAGGAGTTAATTACATCGGCGGAGTGATTGATTGCGTCGTAACGAAGGCCGTACTCACTCTACCTAGCAGCATCGGAAATGTATCTTACCGCATTTCAGCTAGACGTGGATGTAAATGTATCTGGCCGTTATTGCGTCGGCTGGGGAGAGATCCGGGTTGGTTGGTGTTCGCCCGTGCTATACATACATAGACTTTGGTAGTGAGCAGATGATAAGTGCTAGTCTTAGTATGCCCTAGGAGGCCTGCGATACGTACATCTCAGAGTGAGATAAATGTCTAGAAATTTCTTATTAAAAAAACACATCCAGCAGTCTTGTTCAATTGGTTAGGCACGCAAGTGGCATTCAGGAGGTCGTGGGTTCAATCTCCATGGTCGTCTGTAGCACTCTTGGTGCCAACCAACTGAAATAGTCAGCTGGATCCTCCCAGTCGGTATCAGTAAGGTCTCCAGCCAACATGGGTGTGAGTGCGTGTGTGAATGGTTTGCGTGTGGTGCGTGGGAGAGTGTTGACTTTTTTTAGACACTACTGTTCCTCGATGGGGGTGGGGGAATATGAAAAGGGAGGCACAGCTACTGGCAAAATGCTCGGTCCTTGTGTTAGCCGGGCCCTCACCGGCGGCCTGTGTGTCCTTTTAACGGGGAACGGGGGAATTAAACTCCCGTTGAGTCCCGTTGAATTCTTAGAAATCCTGTTGAATTCCCGTTAAACGCAAAAACGGGCCACTCCCGCGCTTTTCGGAAAAACGGAATGGATGTGGGGGGTCTGGAACACGTGGCCCTAGCAAAAAAAAAAAAGAAAAAAAAAGAAAAAGAAAAAGAAATCCCCCAACCCCTGAAGCACATTTTATACCACCGAATTAGACCAACACCGACCGGCCTGCCACCCGCCACTCGCCAATCCCCCGACACCAGTCCCCAAACCTACCCGGAAGCCCTCTAAGCCATCCGCCCCCACATATCCCCAACCCCCAAGGCCCCAGTTATGTGTGTGCAGGGGCGAGGTCCTATTAGCAGTCGGATAGAAGTGTGTGGCCGATCCAGTGTGACACTGAGTGGCAGCGGCCTGACAGGTTCATTACGAATTTCTGGGCTGAGAAAACAGAAGAAAGACAGAAAAAAAAAAACAAAAAAAAAACAGAGACCTCCCACCAGAAGATCACAAATGATCTGATGGTGGTGGTTGCAACAACAGTGAACAAAGTAACTGCCACATTTTCTGGAACAAACTTGACTTCTGTCAGCACTGATCCTGACACCCTCCATATATTCCATGATTGAAGGAGGGCTCCACCCAATGAGATAATTGCACAACAACAAGTAAAATACTGAAAATGTTCTATCCAGTGGGCCTAAGGCCGTCCTCACCCTCGTTTGGGGTTGGCCACTCCCCCAACCAATTGAGAAGATTCTGGCGGGAAGCTTTCCTTTGCACGGGCATGCCCAGTGTTAAGGAGAGGAGGAGGGGAACGAAGATCTCCTCACTTTTCGGGTAATACAAGTAAAATACTGACCATGGGATCAGGAGTACTGCACTGCAGGATGTGGGTCACTCAACTGCCCCACAAACTCGTTTCTATCCTATCCCGTTGCTAGTGGGACCTCGCCGCCGGTGTGCTGTGTGTGCACGCATGTGTGTATGTGTGTGCCTGCGTGTGAGAGTGTCTGTGCATGAATATGTATGTATGCGCGTGTGTTTGTGTATGTGTATGTTTGTAAGAGTGTGTGTGTGTGCATATGTGTGTGTTTATGTGTGTTTGTGTCTCTGTGTGTGCGTGCATCTGTTTTTCCTTTTTTTATTTGCTTTTATGTTTGTTTGTTTTTTAATACATGAAGTAAAAAAAAAAACAGTTGTTGTACATCTTTTTTTTTTTTTTTTTAATTTTATTTGGACCATTTCTCGATTTATGCGTGTCATCCTTGCGCAGGGGTCATGCTAATCTTCTCTGTATCGTTCCAATTTTAACGGATGTCCCGAAGGACAATTGTTGTACATCTTTGAAATAACCCTATATTTTTAGCTTGTTTTTCTGTGTTTTTTTTTTTCAGTCCTAAAAATATCTCTGTGTAACCACCTAGCTCAGTTGGTACGGCACGCAAGTGGCATTCAGGAGGTCGTGGGTTCACTCCCCGTTGGCCCCATGTACCTTCCTGGGAAAGCTTGGCGCCCGCCACCTAGAGATATGCCGTTGGTCCCCCCGAGTGCCATTGAGCAGAGACTGCTGATGTTCATAGGGGGAGGGGACCGGAGGGGAGGCACAGTGACTGGCCCATCGAAGAAGCT